GATCCTGCCCCTCTGCTCAGCCCCGGGGAAGGCCACACGTGGGGAGCTGTGTCCAGTTCTGAGCTCCCCAGTACGAGAGAGACAGGGAGCTATTGGAGCAAGCCTAGTAAAGGGCTTTACTAAGATGGTTAGGGAACTGGAGCATCTCTCAGATGAGGAAAGCCTGAGAGAGCCGGGCCTGTTTAGGCTGCAGAAGAGAAGACTGAGAGGCGATCTCATCAACGTATACAAAATGGCTAAAGGGAGGGTGTCAAGAGCATGGGGCTAGATTCTTCTCCGTGGTGCCCAGCGATAGGACAAGAGGCAACGGGCACAAAACTGCAACACAGGAGGTTCCATCTGAACACGAGGAAAAAACTTCTTCACTGTGAGGGTGACTGAGCACGGGACCAGGTTGCCCAGAGAGGTGGTGGAGTCTCCTTCCCTGGAGATATTCAAAACCCGTCTGGACGCGATCCTGTGCGATGTGCTCTAGGTGACCCTGCCTGAGCAGGGAGGTTGGACTAGGTGATCTCCAGAGGTCCCTTCCAACCTTGGCTGTTCTGTGATTCTGTGAGAGGCTTAGTAGGGTACAATGGAAAACAACAGCCTCCTCCTGCTGCTAGCTAACACAGTTATTCCTGTAACTCATGTAGGGGTCTGTGCTACACTTTAGAAATTCCAGGATTCAAACTCTATTAAACATGATGGAAGGTCAATTACAATTGCAAGTAAAAGGGAATAAAGGTTAGAAAATTACAATTGCCTATGAAATCACCTGAGGGGAAAAGGGGAAAAAAAAAAAAAAGCTGAACGCATAATTGAGTTGAGTGTAGTGGAGTGAGCGCTCTTTGCGACTTCAGGCAAGGGTGGTTCTGCCAGGCAAAGCCAGCTTTTGAGCTGTTGTTTGCTACCTTTGCAAGAAAACAAAGTGAAATTTTCCCACTTCCAGTACTTGCACAAAACCAGCTTGCCTCAGAGGCCTGAAACAGTGTCTGCCTGAAGCACCTGTGCGCTTTGTTTAATGGTAGAAGTTACTGGAGGATTTCAGTTGACCAGCATAAACTATTAAGTTTATATATAATATAATATATATAATAGCATAAACTATTCAGTCCCTCTCCTGCTGAGCTGATGGGCTTAACAGTTGTTTTCATGTTTTATTGTCCTTGAACATGAGAAAGTACGTGCTGGCCACACACCTGTGAATAACTCATCTGTAAAACAACAGGCTATTAAGGAGATAGGTCGGGGTGGGGGGAGGGCACTTGCCAAGCAAGGTGATGCTTGTTTTATGTGATAAAATCCATTTCTGTTGTGCTAGCTTAAGAGAAAATTCATTATGAACTTTGTTAATTTGTTATTCAAGTCCTATAAACCTGTGAACCTGGTTTTAAAATGCTGACACAGAAAAGCATTAGGGGGAAAAAAACCTTAAGTGATCTTTGTGTTTCAAAATGACAATACTATTAAAACCTCTCTTTTCAAAAAGCTTATGGTAGAGTTGTGACTCCATTCTAAGACGACATGAAGGTAACTTCAAATCTGAAACTTGCCTTGCTATCCATGGTATTTGAAAAGTAATCCACACTTCCTTTTTAAAGAGCACTTAACCTAATCTAATGGGTGACTAACACCCAATTCAAACAGCAAAATCTACTTGAGAAACCATGCTGCATTTTGCATGTTTAAGGCAGACGTTATATTTTACTGTTCAGCTACAGTCCAGTGAGACCTATGGCAAAATGAATCTAAGTGAC